TTTTGAGTTTACAAGGATATTGGATGGCTTGATATCTAGAAGGAAAAGAAAACTGATAAGGTGAGTTATGTGTATGTTTACTGACATAAATGAGAGCCTTGCTTTATGCAGAAATGTCATAATGAACACACACGTCCATGAAGTAATTATGATTATATTTACCTCGATGAATAATTTTGTGACTTCCATAGAGATAGTTGAGACCCTCTAATACCTTATGATGTCATGATAAGCAGTATATAGTCAATTGCCAAGTGGTGGTAATGTGACGTATGGAAAGTACGTGTAAATACAGTAAACTCACCGCTAGTGTAATTTTGCCAAGTATGGGCGGGGGAATAGGACCAGTCTTCTTGTAGATGGCTTCAAGTGACCTAATAAAAATTGACATATTAGCAAATTTCTTTATACATAAAATTATATTCTATACCCTAACCCAAAAATCTTGTTATACCATAACCAATTTTCAAAACTCTATTCTTTATTCTCAAGACGCTCTTTTCTCGCTAGACCGTTTCTAAAACCCCATTCCCATTCCCCAATGCCTTCCTTTAATGCCCCATTGGAAATAAATGCCTACCCGACGTCCATATATTCCATACAAATGGCTATGTCACGGTCTTCTTCAGTAAGAAATGCGCCATAGAATGAAACAATGTACTTGGAATTACAGTCGTGTAGAATTGTCAGCTCGCGAAGAATTTGTTTCCGTATTTGTGGCTTGGCCTCCATATGGATAATCTGAAAGTGGTTATTAGGATCCGAATAATAAAAAAGTGAAATATATAATATTAACAACAGATCATCGGTCTTCGTGGGGGGGAATTCCTGGGTGCTATTGCATAAGAATTAGCGTCGTTTTTGTTGTTGTCGTGGATAATGTTAAAAGAAAGAAAGGAAGTAGAAGGGGAGAAAAAAAAAAGTTAAACAGGCGACGAAGGATCATTCACCTTTTTGGCCATGATAGTTTGCGTTGTGACGTGTTTGACTTGAGAGACAGTTCCTCCATTGCCAGCGCCGAGTTCTCTTAACAGTATGAGGTCTTCGCTGCGTAAGTCTAGTCTAAACTCTTTGCCTAGCTCGAGGTCGGTTAAGCCCTTGGCAAGGGTGGTGTCTACGTCGTCCGTTCTTGGTACTACTGGAGATGCGTTGAGGGTGAGATGACCGGCATTTCTCTTTCGTCGTAAACTGCGGGGCTGGAACACGGACATAGTGATCACTGTGTTGGTGATTAAGGAAGGAATAGAAGAGAGAAAGCAGTGATCTTGTGGAGAATGGGTGTCTTTGTTGTTGTGCGACTTTGGATGGTAAGTAGTTATTTTGGCGAGTTTGTTGAATTAAGCAGGTGGTTGTGACAACCAATGAAGATGCACGGCGGTCGCCCAGTGGTGGAATGTACTGTAGTTGTGTATTAAATATGTGCTGTGGTGCTAAATATAGAAATGGAGAGGTTATTATGTTTATCAAAGACATGAGTAACAGCAGATAGACATGTTGATGAGTGACAATGATAGACATGGTGGATAACAGCGACAACGACGATGATAACAAACAAAGAGTCGGATACATATTTGTTGATCAACTAGTATGTTTTTATTATCCATTCACCCAATATCACATTCTTGTAAATTCTACAGTTGGATGATTGACCATTATCAAAGAGATAGTCAAGCCCCTCTCTCCACACAGGGATACATTCTATTATCTCTATTTTACATTATTCGTTATATCCCATTAATAATATCACCCAATAAGATCTATTGGATGAGATCAACCAAAATCCCATTATTGTGTTGTAGGATTACAAACGCCATCGCCAAGTGAAACATGTACGCACTAATAACATACGATTCGGCTGGCCCATGCTTCATCACCAAACTAGCTGATTCGTTAACGTGTATCTATTTTCCCTTACGCGGAACATTCCGCACAATGTACCCACTAGCATTTAACATAGGGAGCGGACGTTCACGTTATTCAAACAACTTCGATTGGTCTGCGTCATCCAACCTCTCAATGTCCAAATTTGTCATACGGTCGGTATTACGGATTGTTCCGACCAGGATTTCAATACTATAAATTCATGTCACGGGACTAATGACAGTGTGCACGCGACGGCATTTTAATTGGGAAAAAAAGGGTGGGCGCAAAACTGTCGCGCGTAAGAAACTAGTTCCTCAAACCAAAATTCCGCTTCTCTCGAGGCTATACTACCCATTGAATATCGTTCTATTTCCAACTCTCCATCAAACTCGACGCCTACGAGACTGTGTCGTATCAATATGTTCTTCTTTCTCTTTGGTGAGTTAGTTGCATTATGCGTGCATGCTTGTAATCTATGTTTAGCACAGGCTGCCAGTTGACCCAACACGACAGCTGTCTGCATTAACAGAATGGCTATTTTCATGTGATATCATTATGAATGACAGCGACAGTGCGATATGATATGATAACGAGTCGTATTGTCACCGCTACTGTCGTGACCCATTCTGGGTCGCTGGCGCCGGGATGATTTCTTAATCGTCATTATTAGTTCTTATTCCCTTATGACTTTCCTAACTATGATATCATTCATTTGTAAACCAGGGAGCGTAACCCCTCGACTCACACTCATACAATCCACCCTTCCTGTTCGATGCCCGACTTGCCTACTTCCCGAAGCAACAGTATATCAATACAAATCATCAAAAGTACTGAAAGTCTTTTTCGTCCCAATTCTCACGTTTGGCTCCAAATCAATATGGCAATGCAAAAACTGTGGATGGACATCAGATAAATCACCAGATGACGAGACGATCAGACGGAGCGAAATCGACGAATTGACTCATCAGCGTTCTCCATTGCCCACTTGGGGACTGAGCAGATGCCGAAAGTGCGGCAAGGAGAGCAACTTTTCGGGAAGGAGAAAGTTCTGTCCGTATTGCGGAGACGAACCGAAAGGTCGTTGATTATCAGTAAAGTGAATCTATCATGATTTACCGGGATCAGTTGGTTTATATATCGCACATGGATTATCGAGGTGATGATACGTTGTTGATGTGGGTCACGTTGTATTCAGTTAATCTTATTATTGGCCATGAACATTGTTCTGCACACATACAAAGTTTGCAGACAAAAAAATGTCGTAGTTATTACATACACACATACACAAACTATTAAATAAATGCATGTCCTCCCTTTCAGTTCTTGTGATTTGTGGCTGCAATGCTCAAGACAAGGATTTTATTGTTGGAGAAGTCGAGGATTTTCGACATATATGGCTGATTCCGTAGTTGACATGATTACTAAAGGTAAAAATCTATCGGAATATTCTGTCAAAGGTGGAGGGGGAGCGTATGACGTAAAGAGAATCATCGAATCAACGGAGAGAGGGCAAAAAGGGTAAATTGGATTCCTGATTGACAGTTTTAGATAATATCGGTATTCAATATCTTGTAACCCCCGCTGAACTGATTGTGTCAAGGGGGGGAAAGACGTCTTGTTAGGCTTGTCGATCATTCCATAAAAGGTGATCCCAATGTCCCGATTTATCATACACCCGCATATGTATATATGTAGATATCTGTGCAGATCAATACAAATACCCTAAATTCATTTGTTGTGTTTGTTTTTGAATTAAGATCTACAAATATATATCACCGCGTGCCGCACAAAATAAGGTGAACTGGCGCCACAAAATATTCAGGGGGTAAAACCTGAGCGCCACAACTAAGGTGGACCTAAAACTGCTTTGCTTAACGATGAATAGCACCTCAAAATTTCAACAGTATTATCTTAACAGTAGAGATATCTTATTTAGTTTCAAGACGAAGCAATGCGCGAAGAAATTAACTTGCATCTCGATAAGCACGAAACAGATTCCTCAGTATGTTTTCTGGAACAATTAACAAAAAGTTAGAAATGTCCAGCATTTTATTTATAATTTCTAACCCTAGTAGTCTAAAGATCCAATACCTTGTTATTAATATTAATTTAAATCATTGACCAGACTAGCTCAATCCTACAAACATTGACAGGCAACAACCATCTTTGTGAAATATGAATCTACAGATTAAGATATATATTTTATCTAAAGTGCATTTAAAGATGTAATTGCATCTTTGTATATCTGCTTTGACTTGTTTCGGAAAAAAAAATACTTTTCAAGTCAACAGAATGTACTGTAACTCTGGCTTCTTCAAATAGAACAAAATTTTTTACTAGATAATTCTAACTTATTTTAACTCATGCATTAACTTCTGCTTCTGAAAGTATTTTATTAATTTTGTATTTTATTTAATTATGATAATTTCATGGGCATAATAGTAATAATAATTCAGTCATATTAAAGCTTATGAGTAATTACATCGGGAAATATTTCTACAAAATGTTATGGAAATAATTTGCTGTCTCAATTTCTCGGATTGCTTCAGTCGGGTTTATATTAACGTTAAGCAAACTAACTCGGTCGGTTTCTTGATTATAAAAAATACTAGAATGTAACGAGCTTATAACACTTCAGAGACAAACGACAAAAAGGTAAGAATTAACTTCCGGACCATTACTAATTAGATTCAAGAAGTTTAAAATTTAATAATTTTTTTCTTCTTTGCCCTAAACGGACAAACGGCTAAATAACCAGCAAATCGATTCATTATTTGATCGCATGTCTCCTGCTGCGCCTTTGGTATCAAATTACATAATCGCTGTTACCAGAAGTTAGGAACGTATGAGGTTTGTGGAAATCGACTGCAAACAGATTATCAAATCTCAACCAGAACAGTCGAGAATAACATCGGATGCGTGTGATTTAAATAGGGGTTGTGGCGTTCAGCAGTTTTTGAAACCCTGAAATCTTTCTGTGGCGTAATCATAATTCTAATTTGTTGCAGCACGCCCCATATTTGATATATATTCGACATTCTTCTGACTGAACACCTAGTTCAAATTGACCTTGTGACGAAAAAAAAACGAAAATAAGAAAATAAAACTCTACGATCATAAAACTTTTTGATATCAACATGAGTGCAACTACCTCTGTAAAATCGCAAGAACAAAAGCGACCCGGTATCCGAAGAATAATGACTTGGACTAGCAAGACTAAAGACAAAGAACTCCTCCAAACGCACGGTTATGATAGTGCTCCAGGTATGCCAAAGGGGCAACAACTATTTATCCTTTACCTATAGTCTCTCCTATTATCAAAACCCTCTCCCCTCAACGACAACAAAACTCTTTCTCCGACATCTTATCCCTCTTATGCGAGTTGCTTCATAAAAGCCTTCCTTTTTCTTTTGTTGTCATCAGCTGGTATTAATGTTATTGCTCCTACTCTCACTATCCCCATACTATCGTTATTGTGGTTATTAATCTTATTTGTGTAGCTTATACTGTAATAGAATATCTACGGAAAAACCGAATATTTTATTCACTTTTTTCTCAACCATACCATTTGCACCTATTCTTTCTTTTTTTTTCCCATCCGCAAAAAACTCGCCCAAATTTCTTCTTTTCTAGACGACTCCCAACAACCAGTCCCACCCAGTCCAACTCCAAGCACAAGAAGCATCAGATCCAATAATAGACCGTCACTCTTCCGTGCGTTTGCCCGCCGTAACTCTACAAGAAGTGAACATTCTGTTCGAAGTCGGTCACCAACTAGTCCTAGACCTTCTACCGAATATGGAATAGCCGAGGATTTTCGTTCACCCAGCCCAACACCTTCACGTAATTCGATGATATTCGAACGAGATGTAGAAAATCATGACCATTTGAGTGCGCACGAAGCCATCGATGTCGGCATTCCACCCATGTTAGAAAATGCGGCAGAAGCGTTCGCTACGATCGATGATGGTGTACTTGTCATTACAGACAATGGTGATGAGCCGATATTGAGTGAAGAAGCATCGAGTAATGCATATACTAAGAATGCTTTGCAAGAGACGGATGCGATAAAGCGGTTATCGTTGGCTGATATGGCTGACATTATAAGTCGGACGCCTAGTCCTGGTCCGTATGATCCAAAGCCAACGATTGCCGAGACATTGCGAGTCACAACGCCAAGAGAGATGAGAGATCTTGCTGGTGTTTATGATAAACAAGGGAAGTAATTGAAAAACCGGGTGGGGTTGTTGGTAATTTTAAGTAAGGGTTTCTTTATTGCCATGGGATGTGCTATATAAGTAGGTGAGTTGATGGAAGATAATTGCAGTTGGAGATGGTTATTTCTGGAAACGAGCAATGTATTTATCTTTTCTTTCTTCTGCTCGTTTGTTTTGTTAATATTATTTAGTTGCGGTGTATGTGTGTTTCATTGTTATATTATCTTTTATTATCATTTCTTTTATTTGCTGGTTGCATGATATTGGGCATATAATTAAGCAGTGTCGAGATGGGAAGCTATACAATTTGTATTATTCATTATCAGAGTTAGTATTTCTCCGTTATACATATTATATATACACATACATATATACATATACAACATATACATGTATCCTAGGCCAATGATGTATGTTTTCCCCTTCCATGTTTTTTTTTTAATCCTTTATATTGTCGGTTGATCTTTACGGGGTCATCATTCACGATAACCGTCATTTCCACACACCCCACCCCCTTTTCAACATCCGCCACAACATCTCCACCATTATCGTCCGTCACCATCATCACCACCATCGATCTCTTCTTCCCATCCTTCTTTATCAATATCCGAAACTTATCGTTCATGTTTATTCATGACCTTGAGAATTAAAAATTTCTTACTTCATATTAGTGTTGAATTCGTACTGTATTCTGTATCATTTTCTTTCCCATCCCTTTCCATTTCATTCCCGGGTCCCTCGTACAAATGTTATAAGTTTCATGAATACTAGGCTCATCTCTACAGTGAGCATAGAAACTGCAGAAGATACAAGAGATGCTATTATCTCTAATCATTCATTACTACTCTCTCTCTTTTTTATTAGTATATTTTAGAGGTAGAGGGTAGAATGAAAAGTGAGTGTTATAAATACCCCCATGGTTATTTTAATGATTGGTGATTTTATAATCCATTGCAAGGAATCAGTAGATTATCGATAATACGAAATTATTACTTTTATATTTTATTTCTTATCAAACTCCCATATAGTCAGGAACTGAAGTTTTAATGATGTATTGGAAAACTAATTAGTGGGGGGAAAGAAAGAGTGAGAGTGAGGTGAGAGAAAGAAAGAAAGAGATAGAGAAAGATGAAGAGGAAAGAGATGAGGAAGAAGTAGGAGAAGAAGAGAATGAGAGATTGCGACAATTTCATTTCAGCTGAAGGGGAATGAGAATAGATTGAGAAAGAAAAAGAGGCAATCTATTTACTTCTTTTTCTTTTTACATAAATTGTCTTTTGTGCCGAAAGAATACATGTATAAAGAAAGCATTATATTATTTGGACACGTTTGTTGTAAATGGATCTGATCTACATGGTTATATTAACAAGTCGCTTCCTTATTGTCCTAAATTTGGTCAGGAGCCATTACTGACAGAAAAAGAAGCTTAATTTAATGTTCACGTGATATAATTTATATTCATCGTAAATCTACTACTGTGGGGTGGAGACGTACTAATGTCAGCCGACGTTACCGATTTTTCTCCGAGAATGACAACTCGATAATCGAAACATCGGATTTCCGGAACATCACATCAGTCTTGACAATAGGACATGCGTATTTAAAAAATTCAGGTATCAAGCGCGTTAAGAAATAAAGAGAAAAGTTCTAGCTCAACAATGATCAAAAAACAAAAAAGGTTCCATTTCGGTTACTGTAACATTCTTGCGTAATTATTTACTAATTGATCAGAATAATACACTTTATTCGAATTCCTCTGGTTCCAATTTATTAATAACAAATTTGTCTCGATTATTCGAACAAATTTTATATTAACTTCTTTAACCACGGCATATTAATATAAAGCCACCCTTAAATTTAAAATGTGTTAATTCGAAGAATAAATTTGTAGGTAACAGTCTCGATAAGCCGGCTCACGTGATAATTTGTAATACGGACAATTCCTTCAATTTTAACTGGTTGATCACACAATATTATTATTATCGTATGATCCGAAAATCACGTCATTAGATCATACGATTAAAGCATTATCATGTCATTAGAACCATAATATTAAAAAGTAGCTATTTACAACAATTGAATGATATACGAATAGTTCTGTATTACAACGTCATTAGTTAATAAAATGGTTAATTAAATATTTTTTTATTCCGTGATTCTCGATAGGCCAGCTCCAGTTGGCTTATTTAGACTGATTGTGCATTGACTTTTTCAGTTAAACGTATCTTTCTACTCATATACTAATACCATAGGTAAAAAAGCATTAAAGTTTTTCTGCGAAGTTAAACTATGCAGCGTTAAGCAATATAATCCAACAAAACTTAGCAACTCGATTTAAAATTACCAATTATGTATATCCTAAGACCTTTATGAAACGAGATAATATATTTTGACAATATATGCGTCGAAATTCGACCTCAATTATTGCTTGGTTGAAAGTACTTGAAAACCAAAGCAAAAACAGTTGTGACCATTCTTTTTTCGCCACCCCATAACATTGCCCGGATGGATTGAATCGATCAAAAATAGTCAACTATAATCAATCAATTGGCGTAGCTATGTTACATAACTAAGGCT